CAGGTTTCGCAGATATCTGCAATCCTTTGTGTCGTGTCCGTGATCCCTACGATACTTGCAGTATTTTCAGCTATCTCAGAGAAAGGCTCTAATACTCATCAAGAGTGCTTTCCAAAAAAAATTTTTAACCTGAATGACGTTCACTATTTCTATCATAAAAAACCTTGTAGGGTTTTGCGGGAGACTCCATGGTTATAACGAGATTGCTCATGATTATGGGACGATCGGTGGTGTTGGGCTTTTATTTGTCTCCTCTGATCCTCACGACGATGGGTCAAGTGGTTGCTGAAGTGGGTTTCATAGAGTGGGTGGACGATCGGTCGCTCAGTTTGTCTTAGTTGTCTCCTGCTTTCCCGTGGGGGCCTCTTTTAGTGAGTTTGTTCGGCAGGTTCAGGGGCATTTTCATAAGCAGCTATGTACTTATTGACCATCTCTAACGGTTTGGTCAGGCTTTGTGACTCTACAAGGTGAAGGTCAAAATATAATCTTTCCGACCTCACCCCCTATGTCAGCGCAGCCCAGGTCTTGTCAGGTTTCAAGTCTTTCACATTCAATGTTTCACTCTAAAAACATGCACTAAACGATCGCAAGATCTCTAAGCTCCTCATTTTAGTTGTCATAAGGATCGGGTGCTCTTCTTGGGTTAGAGCGCTAGCAAACTGCAATAAAAAAAGCTCCTTAAATTCTGCAAAACATGTGATCAACCCCGCAGGTAACTCGTCTGGATCAGCAGATGATCTCAGTGTTGTGAAGAACAGCTTGCACTTGAGGGCATCAAAGATTTTTAGCAGACATATGGAAGATTCAAACACGCAGGGTGGTCATTGGGGTCCGACCATCCTTTGTATGACTCTAGGATGGGTATCTTAAACTTCTCTGGGGGTTCAGCTCCCAATACTTGTGGTGAGAAGGCATGCTCCGGTGTCGTAGTACCTCAGTCCACACCAGTTGATTCCTCTCCTTCACAGGGCGGACCCAGCGCTATCTTGGAATAGCACATTGTCGAGCTTCTCCTTCAGATGGATTGTTCTTTTTCTGTTGTTTGTTGGCGGTTCCTCTTGAGGGGGGTTGGATGCCCCTTGTTGCGCCGGCTCTCCTTCAGGAACTGTGACCACCCTTAGGGCAGCTACTGCTCTGAGTACCTCTACGAATTGTCCTTACATCTAGTTAGTGATTTACGTCCTCAGGTTTTATAGACCTTGTTAGATGAATTCCTCCATAACCTCCCTAGTGCAGGTTGTTTGTGCCACGTTCCTCTGACTAAAATTTTCTTGTTGTTGTTGTTGAGTTCTTCTTTTTGTTGATGACATGTTTTCACGTTTGTCGTACTTTAAAGAATGTTGAATCCAAGAGTGTCCAAGAAACACACCGAGGCATAGAACGTTTTGCAGGGGATAAATAAGAGAGTACAATAGATAACAGTAATGCCTAGTCAACTATTCATGATATGGACCATTTATTTATAAGAATAGGCACCAGTCTTACAAAATTAAAGATTAGTCCCCTTATCATTAACCTTCAGTGGTATGTTTTAGTAATAATAAATATATTTGAATATAATAAAACTTACAGATTGATTTAGTCGGTAAAAAGTTTGTGGGTCGCTCGCCCTGACTTAACTTCATCGGTACTTGATTCGAAGCTGAGTAATCTATAGATCGGCATTGGAGCTGATCTTCATCCTGTGGGAAATCCTTTGACACGTTCTTCTGGTTGCTCAATCCAAACGCCTTCCTTGCTAGCATTCAATATGTCAATCGTCGACCGGTATGTCCGGTCGGTCGCACCGTCCTCCCGAGCAGTCCGTCTGTCAATCTCTCATCAAAATGCTCATTTTGACTATGAGTACGTAAAAATCTAAAATCATCTAGTCCTTCAATTAAAATTATAAAGTTTTATGTCACAATTCAAGTGCATGATTTAAGCTCATTTGAAATCGGAACATATCACTTTTGATTTCGTGAGATTCGCCTTGTTGAGACATTCAATTAGCCTATAAGTTTACATAAATTGAAATTGAGATAATCTTGACATCAATCCTAAAAGTTTTTTTCAATCAAAATCGGTGCATGATTGATGGATTATTTTATAATGTATCAAAAATACAACAAAAGAGTGTGAGATTTCGGATGAAAAATTCATAATGATAAATCAAGATCAAATTGAATTTGAATTGAAAGCAAGAATAAGGGGATTATTAAATTGTAATGGAAGTAATTAGCTTTTTGGTTGTTTAGGATAGAGCATCTAAAAACAGGTATTGTTAGGTATGGCTCGTATACCATAAATGGGACAGATGCTGGAGCGGAACGGAGCACACGAGCGGAGTGGAGCGGAAGGATCCGTCCAATCGGGGGAGTTTCATTATGTGGGTTGGGGGTGCGGGGGCAACGCCCCGCGGTTTGGTATAGGGGCAATTTAAATAATTATATATTGTACTATAGGGTTATATATATGTCTTGTCTGTAACCCTAGGTGAGTAGAATATTGTATTTTGTACTCTTTTCTGAATATTGAAAAGAAAGTCGCCAATCTGCTCCCGATGATGTAGGCATCTTTGCCGAACCTAGTAAATTTTTGTTTTTCTAGATTTGTGTTGATTCTTATTTTACTTCGCCCTAAAACTCAACAAGTGGTATCAGAGCGATGTTTTAGGGCAAGGAAGAAAAATTTCGACGGCACGGAAACAAAGAAGATTTTGGCCGAGGAATTTGGCGGCTAGGGCTTCGGACGGTTCA